TAAAATATTCTAAAAGGTTTGTAATAACATTATAAATATTTTCCTTTTTTAAAACACTACAGTATTTTTTTTTTTTTTTTGGAGTGGGGACAGGGTTTTGCTAAATCACTAAATCGCCCAGGCTGGGCTGTCTTCAGAGTGCTGAGGTTACAGGCATACCTCACCGTACCTGGCTTAATTTTTTTTTTATATACTGCCATTGAAAGTATAATTTTTTTTTTTCTGGTACCGAGAATCAAACTCATGACCTTGCGATTGCCAGGCAGGCGCTGTGCCGCTGAGCTAAATCCCCGGCCCCGAAAGTAAAAATTGATGGAGCTGGGGGTAGCTCACTGGTGCAGTGATTGCCTGGTAAGTGTGAGGTCAACTCCCAGTAGATACCAAAAAGAAAAAAAAAAAGTATAAGTTGAGGGAATCCCTACACAGGAGTTTGACAATAGCTCTCAAAAATGTAAGTACCAAGAGCTGTTAATTCAGAAATTTCACTCTGGGAAACTCATTTTAATGTGTCTGACCACTTATGATTGCAAAGGACCTAAATGTCCATCCATATTGGGTTATCATGTGAGTGACAGTACATTTATCACTATAGATGGAATACTATACAGCACTGAAAAAACCCACAGAGAGTGCCCAGGAATCTGCTGTTCAGCCTCAGGGGTCTGAAAAAGAAGGACCAGTCAGGGAGAAGCCTTCTGAGTGAAGGAGGGAGGGCAGCAGGAAGTCGGGATGGAATAACAGAAAAACTCTGGAAAGATATAATAAACTAGAAAAGGTTACTCTTGGGAGTGTAACCAAGAGGATGGAAAGAGGCTTTTTTTTTTTTTTTTTGGTGGGAATCGAACCCATGACCTCAGGCTTGTCAGGCATGCACTTATGCTGCTGAGCTACATCCCCGGCCCGGAAAGAGGCTTTTCACCCTTTGGGGGTGAGCTGTGTGTGTGTGTATGTGTGTGTAAGTCTGGTTATGTTGCTCAGGCTGGTCTCAAAATTCCTGGGCTCAAGCCATCCTCCTGCCTCAGCTTTCCAGTAGTTGGACTGCCCCGGCCCCCACCTTCTGAATATTACATCCCTAGGGACGTTTTTTTTCCTCCAACCCTAATACCTGAGTGGAATTCCTTAAATTCTTTGGCGGGGTCTTTTGAGGTCAGGTGGGGTGGACGCACCATCCAGGAAGCGCTGGCACCAGGGCCCTTGCTTTGCTGCTCTGTCCAGGCCTTTGCTCCTCTCGGCCACCCGGAGGCCACCGAACATCCACTCCCTTCTCCAAGGACTTGGCCGCTGGGTGGCTCCCGGCGCCCCGAGAAGGCTGCTCCCTGACTGTTCCTCCCTTTTCAGACCCCTGAGGCTGAACAGCAGATTCCGGGGCGCTTCCTGGCTGGCGGAACTGGGGTCCTCCTGGGGCTTGCACCCTCGCGAGCGCCCCCAGGCCGCTCCCCAACCCGGGCCAGGCCTGTCTAGACCGGCAGAGCTCGGCTCCCAGCGCCCTCTCCCGGGAGGAAGGGCACCGGTCACTTGGGGCCGAAAGCCTAGGGAGCGCCCAGGCTGGGAGCGCCCAAGGTCCCAGCTCCGTGCTCCTCCCTTGCTCCACCTGCCTCCGCCGACGCCGGCCCCGCAGCCAGCAGGAGCAGACGCATACCTTCCCCGCGGGCAGCAGAGCCGTGGGCCGTGGAGAACGGCGGGAAAGGTGGCTAAACCCTCTCGGGTCAGCGGGGCAGGGTTACTGGACGGCGGCGCGCTCCTCCACCTCTGCCCCGCGCGGCAGCGTCGCTCCGACTCCCAACCCGGGCCACGGTCCTCCCTGCACAGCACCCCTTCGTCGAACCATGTCGCCTTCCCGGGAGGGTGACCGACAGTAGTAGCAGGCTGGGGCGGGGACAGCCGCGCCCAGGTGGTGGTAGGAGAGCGGGGCAGCGCAGGGGTAGCCAGGCCCAGGGGTTCAGCCCCGGAGTTTCTGAACGGGGATCTCGGGATTAGGGACCTGGGGTGGTGGTCCCCAGCATCGGCTGCATGCGACCCAAAGGTGACACTTGGGTTCCCACACTCCTGGACCACCCACCTCCCTCCGCGGTAAAGGGGAAGGGAAGCCGGGCGTGGTGGCGCCTGCCTGTAATCCCAGCACTCGGGAGGCTGAGGCAGGAGGATCGTTGCGAGTTCGAGACCAGCCTGGGCTACAAAGTGAGCTCAAGGTCAGCCTGAACTACACAGGGAGACCGTCTCAAAAAGACAAAAAAAAGGGGGGGGGGACAGTCCCCGACAGGAAGACCCCGGCCCCTTGGGCTTGCAGGAGCTGGAATGCAGGGATTCACCCGCCCTGGCTCTCAGACCTCGCTGCAAACTAGTTAAAATTACAGCGTTGCCCGCGTGTAGTGGCACAAGCCTATAATCTCAGCACCCTGGATAGCTGAGGCAAGAGGATCACCAACTTCAGGCCCAGTCTGGGCAATTTGTTTGATTTTGGGAGACAGGGTCTTGCTATATACCGCAGGCTGGCCTCGAACTTGCAGGCCACCATGCCCACCTAGTCTGGGCAATTTAGCAAGACTCTTCTCAAAAAATAAGAAAAAAACGGGATGGAGAAAGAATGCCCTGGGTTTAATCTCCAGGATGGGTGAGAGGGAACTTGGGGCCTGGACACGTGAAATCAGAATTTGGGGTAGACCCCAGAGCTCCACTATGCAGTGCTGGTGGAGGACTGTCAAGGGTGCTGAGGTCAGAGAGTTGGAGGTGACCTGGACTCCTGATGCAGCAGGGAAAGAGGCCCTGAGAAAAAGCTCTAGCCAGGCATGGTGTGGCACCTGCAATCCCAGTACTCTGGGAGGCTGAGGCAGAAAGAGTCCAGATTCTAGCTGGGCAATGCAGTGACTCAACGAGTTTCTCAGAACAAAGCAAAGCAAAAGAAAAAACAAGGAACAGCTGGGGATGTGCAGAGGCCCTAGGTTCAACTCCCTAGTATGGGGAGATTAGGGCAGGGAAACCTGTCTCCCTCAGCTGGGGAGGCTCCCTCCACAAGGATTCCATTTCCAGTCCTCACGCAGCCAGGAAGCTTGGTGGTGCCCTCAGCACCTCTGCAGCCCTAGCTTGCCAGGGCAGGGCCGGCAAGTGGAGCAGTCCTGCTGGTGCTCAGCAGCATCAGTGTGTGGGCAGCAGACTGCAACAGAAGGCTTGGAATGGGTGCACCTGAGACCATGGTAAGTGAAATCAGATGCACAGGCTTAAATATTGCATGGTTATATGAGAAACCCAAAGTATAAAGGGCAAAGAAAACAGGAAAGAGAGATCTGCAAATGGGAAGGGGACCAAGAAATGGGAAGGGATATAAAAAGAATTAGGATGGGTTGTGGCTCAGTGTACTGGGCAGCGCTGGTAGTTCCAGCACTCAGGTTGAGGCAGGATTGCCGAGTTTGAGGATAGCCTTGGTTACAGTGTTCAAGGCCGGCCTCAACTACCTAGGGAGACCCTGTCTGAATTCCCTCTCCCCACTTGTTATGTACCAACTTCTAGCACCTCCCTACAATGAAACATGTACTGCAAATGTATTAATTAAAAAAACAAAACAAAACAGGGAGAGCTAACAGCAAGCTGGGAGTGGTGGTGTCAGTTTTAGACAGCCTTCCACAATGATGGATCAGGACTCCACGGAGCCAACAAGCTAGGGATTGGGGTAAAGATGGGGGAGCAAAGGGTGGGGGTAGAGAGCACCAGTGTGCTGAGGGTGGTGTCATTTTTTGCAGAGTAGGTTGTTAGACCAGGTTGCTGGTCTGAGATCAGGCTTTCCCTAACCTAGCAGGGAGGTAGGTAGAGGGAATGCCTGCACAGGGAGCTAAGGGTCACCCTTGCCAGAGGGATCCAACCTTGTTGACTAACACCCACCTTTTCAAACTAAAGGTTTTCTTCACAGGTGTTTCTGGGTATAATTTCTTCCAGAATGATTTGACACATTGGATATTTCCAGTTAAGACTAATCTCTCTTCTCAAATTCAGCAGAATCCACCTCTGCCTCCTCTGAGGCGGTGGTGGTGGCAAGGACTACACTTTAACAGTACAGTTCTATTTATTATATGAGAGCCAGGCGTGGTGGTACTTGCCAATAATCCCAGCTACTCAGGAGACTGATGCAGGAAGATCCGATTTGAGGTCAACTTGGACAATTCACTTGGGAAGACCCTGTCTCAAAATATGATTTTAAAAAGGAGGTGGGGGTAAAAAAAGGGGAGGTGGTAGGTGAGCTGGGGATGTAGCTCAATGGTACTGTGCTTGATTACCACTTGTAAGGCCCTGGGTGCAATCCTTAGTACGGGTGTGTGTGTGTGTGTGTATGTGTGTGTGTGTACCATAAAAACTGGGAGTTCTCAACGTGCAAACAGGCATAGAATAGAGCACAATCACATGAAATCAAAAGATAAACTATGCTCACAGTTGGGGCACACAGGCGAGTGACACAGTGCTGGCTGAAGGAGTGCATGAGGCCTTTAGCAGGCCCACCAACACAAGTATCCTGATGCTTACCCCAAAGCTCATCAGGAGGGTAACATACTACTGAAAGGAACAGAAAAGGATTAAACCAAGGGTGGTGGTGCACGTCTATAACCGCAGCACACTGGAGGTTGAGGCAGGAGGAGTCCAAGTTCAAGCTCAGCCTGGACAATTTAGGTAACAGGCCCTACCTGGAAGCTGGCTGTTTTGTTTTCGATGACTTGGCTTGAAACAATTCTAGTTACCTGACGTTCAGCACGTTCTTAGAAGTTTTCATAAAACACCCAATTTCTCCATGATGGTTCAATGTGTGGAAACCACTGGCCCATGTTCAGAAGACTAAGACCAGGAGCAGATTCTTTCTCTTTTGGAGAGAGACCCCCAATGTCCGAGTTTGGCAAAAGGGTGCTCTTGGAGAGTGGCAGCAGCACAAGGGTGTCTCTGAGAAGCGCCTGGGGTTTCACCACTGCTTAACTGCTGGGGAGGTCGGTGTGGGCTGACTGAGGAGAAACTGAAACACTGAGGCCGCTGCTGCCACCACCGGCTGATGCAAGTTTTATTGAGACAATGTACAAACAGGCCATGGAAACAAGGGTTTGATGCCGGGACCAGTAACGTAAATAGAATACAAAAATAAAAAGGCACTAATCTGTTAAGAAAAGACACTCAATGTATTCTAAGAATATAAGTCATTTAATACTGTTAATTTTATAGCACAAAATAAAACAAGCTATGATCCCCAAAAATAATTTTAAAAGCTTACACAGAAAATATTATTGCCTGAAGTTTATGATCTTTAAGTTACAGGTCAAAAGAGTTTTACATTGTTGTTGTTTTAAAACACACAGTGAAGACCGTCTAGAAGCAAGGCCACTGTTCCTCCTGCAGGGACAACAATCCTGTCTCAGAGAACTGTCCTTCTACTTCTTTTATAACACACAAACAGCTCAGTGTTCACACTGACAGCAGTTACCGGCGACATGGCTCTCCAGTCCCAGAGGGTGGAGTTTGAGGCAGAGCTCAGTGGTGTCCACAGAAAGCATTTAGTCTTAGGAACTGTGTTAAAACAATCAAGAATTCACTCATTTTAAGAGGTTAATGAACATAATATTAAAGGATTAAATTATAAACACCTGGCACAAAAAAAACACATCATCCCTTTTCAAAAAAAAAAGTTCATATTCCTCTGAGCGAATGTCACAAGAGCAGTTGGCCATTCACCTCGGGCCTGCCTTGTCTGTAAACAGCTGTGAAGGAAGGCCAGGGGCGTGAAGCTCCAAGCAGGGGCAGCAGTCTTTCCCTCCTTCCCTTCAGCATATGAGGTGTCAAGTCTGGGTGACCAAAGTCATCTAACGGCAGCTGGTCATGCATCCTCTTTGTTAAGCATGTCATTAGGTGGTGCCACGCAGCGCAGAAGTGACAAGGAAGGCTCCCGTACTGGAGGTCCTTCCCAGGGAAAGCAAATTTGCAATCAGAATGTCAATGCCCTCTACGTAACTTGTTTCATTTCCAGGTGAAAAACCATAGTGAGTTAATTTAACATCCAGACATTTTCTACAACACAGTAGAGCAGAGCAAGTAGCAACAATGAACAATCATAAAAGATGACCTAGCCCTGGGTCAAATTCACACTGCTGTACGAAGCATGAATCTCTTTTCAGACCAGCAGGGAGCTGGGTATGAAGTCCACGCAGGGGTGCTGCTTTCCATTATTTAGTGTGAAGAAGAGAAATGTCCCTGCTTGATTAAAAAACTGATAAAGTTCTAAGTCAAAAAATTACTACTTTTGGCACATATCTTGAGAGTTCAGAACTCAAGGCTCAAGTTATTCCAAGCTCAGAATCTCCTGGGCAGCCCTGGAGACCTTTACACGGGCTGAAGAAATTCATTATGAAACCAAACTCTAGGTTTACCAGGTGTTTTGATTCTGAAGTGCTCCTCAAGGGGCGGATCAGCAGACCTGGTTGAAAGAAAACCCAGCTGTCCAAAATGGCCATTTACTGCTTGTACTGTAAGCCAACTTCTATAATCAAGGGTGTCAAGAAGCGCTTCAACTCAATCTAGTTTAAAAAGGACGCAGGGCCCTGGCCCTCTTGAAAGACATACATTTCACCTGCTAGATACCTAGCTGCAGGTAACAGGCAGGGTGGGGATGAACCAGGTCACTGCCACAAGGCAAGCACTGTTTCCAGATAGAGTTTGGGGACTCTGTCACATGTCCACCACTTGTGGGTGTCAGGATGAGCCTGAATGAGAACAAGCCCACTCAACAGACCTTGGCAGAAAAAGCAAGTGCAAGGGACAGGCTTCAGCGCAGGAGGTGGCCACACCTTTCACTGGTAATGAAGCATGGAGCGCTGTATATTTTTAAAGAAAACCACACAGGCAGCTGAGGTGTTTTTTCCAATTCACCATTATTTTACCACAGGAACACTCTCAAGATCCTTTAAAATGGCAGTTACGAGCCTGACAAAATATCAAGTTACAGGGAAACTGAAAAAGAAAGAGAGAAACGGGTGTTTTGCTGGTTCTGTCACCAGAATGTACCACTTCAAACCTCAAAACCTCCAAGACAGGACCACAGTTGCAGCAGACGCTCTGTAAATGCTAGAATTACTTTCTAGGTTGTTGCTACATTTCCAGGTCTGGCGTGTTTATTCTGAGCTGAGGGCTGTCTTCACCAGGGTCCAGAAGGGAAAACAGACTGAACTATATAAAGGTTCCAGAATTCTAGTCTGCCATGTGCAGATGAGGGACTGATCACACATTTGTACCAGCTGGCTTGTATAAACAGTGCCTCTCTTAGCTAAGAGAAAAATGCTTTCACATTAACAAACTGTTAAGTGGTTAATGGTAAACTGGTTAAGGGTTCTTCCTATTCACTACAACACTAGATCTCAGGTGTACTAACCAGTTTTCTGAGCTTGCATTTCCTTTGCTCGGGAACATGGAACCAGCATGAACAGCACCATCTTTCTCTGGCAGCTTGAGAACTGGGGTGGGCTTCTGCAAGGAGATCGAATGATCCAGTTTAATGATTCACTAGTGAATCTGATGATCCTATGAATAACCTACATTTTAGAAGAAACTTTAGTCCTGTATCTTAAAGGGAAATGTTTACTGAAAAGCTGGACAGAAAACTGGCCAAGTGCTTCACCCTCCTCATTGCTCCTATCACTGGCAAACAAGGTAAGTAAGGTTTCCCAGTATCACCCTCTGCTCTGATGCTTCTGGGTACAGTAATCCAAGAGGCTGTGCACAAAGCCTGGCACACCACGACTGCTGATTTTGTGTTTGCTACATGGCAAAACAGGGTATGATTGGCAACCAAAACAGTAAAGGCCTCCGCTTCAGGGTCGTTCTTTTCATATTCCTTTAGTTACAGCAGCTTCAGTACAGAAGCTCAGAGGCACATGTCATTCCTTGGACTATCACAAAAATCCAACCTGCTACTCAAAAATCTGTTCAGGACACACAAGTGTAAGTCTTCCAAAACCAAACCAAAACAAAACGCAAGAAAAGCCATATGTGGGGGGTTTAGGACAGAATTCTCTCTTCCTTATGGTTCCTCTGTTGTAGAAGGAAAAACAAGTTGGTGGCAGAGTCACTGCTCTGTGGAAGAGCAACAAGGCAGGATCTCGCTGTGGCCTCAAGCTTTCTCTGACGAATATGACAGGTCGGTACCAAGTACAAACAGGGCAGTGAGGAGAAGGAAGACCCTTTCCTTGTCAACTTCTCTCCACTTGTGTGCTTCCACCAGTATTTCCAGTTTATGATCCAAAAGAATTCTAAAACCGGCTACTCTTTGACGATACGACTATGATACAAACGCCAGGAGGCAGCCGCTGTGTGCATTCCAAATGTGGATGAGATCTCCAGCCTGCAGAAAGCTGGATGCTGGCAATGCAGTGTAACTTGCCTATGAGAGAGAATGCTTTCCCACTTCAAGGAGACTATGACAGGCAGAACAACAAAGCAGCAGGAAACAGGGCAACAGCAATCACTCATTTTCATCTGGGTTTTGAGGGTCAATGATTTTGACATGCGTAAAGGGGAAAAGCCCCTTGCGCCCATTCACCTCGCCTTCCCACTGGCCATTTATATTCATCCTGGTGACTTTTACAATGTCACCAACCTGCAGGGATAGAGAAAAAAAGACAAGTTAGTAATTACTTAGGAACTGATCAAATTTTGTTGTTTTTTTTGAGATAGAGTATCACTATGTAGTTCAGGCTGGCCTCAAACTCGAGGCGATCATCCTGCCTCAACCTCCTGAGTGCTGGGATTATAGGCATACGCTGCCATCCTGAGCTTGACCAAGTTTTTAAGACTACTCAATTTTTTTCACCCCAGTGCTTGGAACTAAAAGTGATGCAGTGCCAAAGACACAATGAGTCCAGTGCATTACTCAGCTGGCAAGAATGCATGCCAGAAGCAGCTTCTGAGCACAAAGCACCCCTCCACTGGCTACTAAACCCAACAAGTGAGAGATGAACACTTGACTCTCTCAATCATTAATGTCAAATCATACAAAAATGTGTACTAGAAATCTAGCTGCGTATGGTGCACACTCTTGTAATCCTAGCACTTCGGAGGCTGCCTAGCCTGGGCTACATAGTGAGATACTGTCTCAAAAACAAAAACAAACAAACAAAACCCTCCCAAAAATCTCTCAAAGTTAAAGGAAAGGAGGAGGGGGAATGGAGGAATAAATTCCACCCAAATTCACATAAGATGCAACTGTTATCACCAAGATCCCTGAGCAGCAATGACTCCAAGTTGTCTGTTGTCCATTTCTCGTTCCCCTTGTGGAGCAGCTGTTGGGGTAAGAAGCCCAGCTCTGTTTTTGTTTTTGTCTTTTTTTGAGACAGGGTCTTGCTCATCAGTTCAGGCTGGCCTTGAGCTCACTTTGTGGCCCAGGCTGGTCTCGAACTCACAAGGATCCTCCTGCCTCAACCTCCCAAGTGCTGGGATTACAGGCTTGCGCCACCACGCCCGGCAAAGCCCAGCTCTGAGCATTTTAAAACCACAGGGTGGTGAGAATTTATCTATTGCCACAGGATAGGCAACAATTAGAGGATGGTCTGCTCTTTTTGTGGTTGTTGCTGTTTCCCCCCTAACTCTTACTTTGGAAGTGGTTCTTAAAGGTCCAATAAATGTCTGATTAGGACCTCAATTTTTTTTTTTTTTTTTTGAGACAAGGTCTTATTGTGTAGGTTCAGGCTGGCCTTGAACTTGTGATCCTCTTGTCTCAGCCTCCCAAGTGCTGGTATACAGGTGTGTGCCACCATGCCCAGCTAGGACTTCAATTTTTAAAAAATTACATTTCATGCCAGGTGTGGTAGCTCATGGCTATAATCCCAGAATTCAGGAGTCTGAAGCAGGAAGACTGCCATGAGTTCAAGGCCGGCCTGAACTATAAAATGAGACTTTCAAATATGATATAGCCTCTCACACATTAACTTTTGCTGCCCTGGTAAGCTGGTTTTCTTACAAACCTTCCTTGAGAAGCTTTTTTTACAAAATGGCAAGGAGAAAAATAACCAACCACTTAGAACAAAACAGGTCAGCAACTGACTGGATGCTGGCTTACTAGTACAAGATTAGATCTGTCATTCATAATAGTACAGTCATTTTTGGGGTTGTTTCTTTTTTGTTTTTTTGAAACAGGGCCTTATTATGTAGTTCAAGCTGGCCTCAAACTCACTATGTAGTCCAGGGCTGGCCTTGAACTCGAGGTGTTCCTCCAGCCTCAGCCTCCTGAATGCTAGGATTACAGCTGTGTGCCATCATGCCCAGCTTGCTATAGTCATTTATTTTTGCCCATTGTAATAGTGTCTTTCTGACTGCTTTTTTTTTTTTTTTCTGATTGCTGTTTAAAGTCACTCTTGCGGCTGGACACGTCTCATACTTGTCTCAGTGATAAAGTATATACTTAGCATACTCTAGGCCAGTGGTGGCAAACCTATGGCACACATGCCATTTGTTATCACTGAAAGTGCTAAAAGGTTCACCATTGCTGTCTAGACCCTTGGTTTAATGCCTAGCACCACTAAAAAATAAAAATTCCTATAAATCAGAACTTACAAAAAGATTTGTATTAGGATTCCATGTAACATTTCATTTAGAAAAAAGGAGTCTTCTGCTAAAGATGCCAGTTTAACACCCCCCTCCCACCCCACTCACGGGCTTTACACTAAGCTATACACTCAGCCTTTTATTTTTATTTTGAGATAGGGTCTTTTTGAGAGAGGGTCTTACTATGTAGTTCAGGCTGGTCTTGAGCTCACTTTGCAGCCCCAGCTGGTCTCGAACTTGCAGTGATCCTCCTGCCTCCTGAGTGTTGGGATTACAGGTCTGCGCCACCACACCCGGCAAGATAGGGTCTTGCTAAATTGCTCAGATTGGACTCAAACTTATCGTCTGGATCCTCCTGTCTAAGTCTGCCAGAGTGCTAAGATTACAGGAGTACACAAGTACCTTTGGTTTAGAGGACTGCCTTTTGGAGGCAGATTTAGAAGTCTACCTGCCATAGCTGGGGGCTGTGCAATACGAACGAGCAGGACGCTGTCAGCTCTCCCCCTGCCACTGTGCTGCTCTAACACAGGACTTAGGAAGAGCCACACCTGCCTTTCCTGGTTACTAGTGAGCTCCTGCACTCTGAGGACTGGACTCCAGGTGCTGAGAGGGCATACATTTATTCTGTCATAGCTGAGTCTGATAACTGGTGGAAAGCAAGAAAAATCTCATCCTCCTGAACATCTTGCCCCAGGCAAGCCCTAACCTCTACTTGGGTGAGTTCATCCATAAAGTCTAGGGGCTATGAATGGGCTGTGCCTCCTGCTAACCACTCCTATGTCTGGTTCCCCCAGACTTTACCAGCTCAGCCACATGCAGCCCTGAGCCACTAGTGCTATCTATGTTACCTCAGCCCAATCATCCCAACTTCTAACCACCCTCCTCTCCACCCATACTCTGGCTACCGCTTCCATTTACCAAGGACCTCCCTACAGCCCAATTCCAGCGCTCAATTCTGGTGATGTTCTGAGGCACTTGAAGTCAGAGGCTCTGCGCACCCATTCCTTTCCCTTGCCTGCCTCTCTTCAGTGTGTATTCTGTAAAATCACCCAGCCAGGTAGGAACATCCTGTTGACATTTGTGGAGAGCAAGGTCTGTAAGATGAGTTGAACTGTCCTCCAGACTCCATCCCTGCTTCTGCACTGTCACCTCTCCACCTTTGAAGAAGGGAGCCTGCTTTACTCATTCTGTATCCATGTATGTATGTTACAGGTGTCCTGTGAATGCCTCTGTAGAGAAGTCTGCAGAATCAGGGGAATGGGAAAACTCCTAGGCTGATACCCCCAGATGCTGTGGTAGACAGCTGAGCAGAGAAGCAAGGTTCTGGAGGACAGATGTAGCAGATGTAAGGGGCTAAGGACAGTAAGACTGACCTTTCAAAATGTAAACAGGGGGGCTGGGGATTTAGCTCAGCAGCACAGCACCTGCCTGGCAAGCACAAGGTCGTGAGTTCGATTCCCAGTACCGGAAACAAAACAAAACAAAACAAAACATAAACAGAACCAGGTCTTTTCTCTACCCACCTGGCCCGCAGGCTGGGGATTAACTAACTCAGGGCCTGTGGACACCAGGCAAGCATTTAACCACTGAACTACAACTCCTGGCCTTTTTAAAAACAAGTTTATTTTGAGACAGGGTCTCACTAAGTTGCCCAAGCTGGTCTAAAAATTGTGATCCTCCTCCCTCAGCCTCCCAAACAGCTGGGATTACAGGTATGTCACATCTGTCTGCTCTACTTTTTTCTTTTTTGAGACAAGGTCTTATATAGTAGTACAAGCTGGCCTGGAACTCATGTCAATCTTTCTGCCTTGGCCACCCGAGTACTGGGATTACAGGCACGCACTACCACGCCTGGCTGGCTGCTCTACTTTTTTTTTTTGGTCTTCTTAAGACAGGGTCTCACTATGCAGTTCAGGCTGGCCTTGAGCTCACTTTGTAGCCCAGGTAGGCCTCGAACTACAGCAATCCTCCTGCCTCAGCCTCCCGAGTGCTGGGATTCCAGGTATGTGCCACTGCGCCCGGCTGGCTGCTTTCTAAAACCCCCTCCAACCCTTCTCTCAAGGTAAAAACAATATCTAAACTCTGATCTTCAAGTTTCTACCTTATCCTGGCTCCTGCCTCTTCCCATTTCTGATCTCATTTCATACCATTTTCCTCCTCTCCTCCAATCACATTGGCTTCTTTTCCATTTCTTGAACTTTCCAACCGCTTTTCCACATATAGGCTATAAGACAGGTGTACGGGAGGGTATGTTGTGAGTATCATTCTACTTGTAACACCTCAAGATGTAAAAACACACGTTGTAGGGTTTTGGCCAGAACACCCAAGCTGGTACCAAGGAAACTCCAGACTTCCATCCTTTCACTTGAAAAATATGTTAAGCATCCCTAAGCAGTCAAAGAAGTCCTAAGTAATGGAGTATGGCAGTGCACACCTGTAATCCCAGAACCCTGGGAGGCTGAGGCAGGAGGAGCTCAAGTTCACACCCAACCTGGGCAATTTAATGAGACCCTATCTCAAAATAAAAAAGTAAAAAGGGATGGAGATATAGCTCAGGCTCTGGTTTCAATCCCTGGTACCACACAGACACAAATCCTAAAAACTGCTCTTACTCTAGCCTTTCAAAGCTACAAGCACATGAGGGCCCTACAGGTGACAATAGTAACCACTGCAAAGTATCTATTCTGCTCAGCATCCTGAGCTATGTTGCTTGTTTTAGAGACAAGGTCTTGCTTTGTAGTGCAGGCTGATCTCAAACTTGCAGCAATGCTCTTGACAGTCCTCCTGCCTTGGCCTGAGTGTTGAGATTACAGGCATGCACCACCACACAGGGTTAAGGGCTATATAAATTCTGGATAAAGACACAACTTGAGTATAAGAAGTAACTAAAACAGAGCTCTACAGTTTGCAAAAACAGGATACTTAGATACTTCTGTCTACTTAAAACAGGTGTAAATAGAATGATGGTCCATACCATGGACTCGAGTGTGGCAGACTGGATAACTATCCTGTTTCTGTCACTTCTGGTGGCTTACATGACTGTGGCAAAATGCTCAT